CCCCCATCTCCCCCTCCTCCTCTTCCTCCTCCTCCTCCTCCTCCTCCTCTTCCGCCTTCCTGCTCCTCCTCCTCGTCGTCGTCGTCCTCGTCGTCGTCCTCGTCCACGTCGTCGTCGTCGGGGGCGGCGAAGCAATCCCGGCGTGCCAGGCGATCGTTTTCTCATCCGTGGTTTCGCCGATCGGCGCGGACCCCAGAACCTCCGCCGCCCCCCTCCCCCCCACATGGAGCAGGTCTTGTCTGCTTTCTGGCGCCCGTTTCGAGCGGGTGGAGTGTCCCCCGGAGGCCGCATTCGTGCAAACAGTCGCATTAAGCAGATGTCTGGAGCCAGACCCCCCCACTCCCCCCCTTGCCGCCCAATGTCGAAGTGCCGAATAAAAAAAACGCTCGCCAATGGACCCAAGAAATTATGTTCTAAGAGCTTGGTTTTTGGTCTGCACGAGATGTTCTCAGAACAGTTCTGGCTGAGACGACGTTGTTTTAATACATCATGTCTACGTTATCAGAACATTGCTTTTATAATTCGAAACTTTTATTAAGTTCTGAAAGATTGGTCGTGGCAGGCCTAGGGGAATGCCTCGTGATAGGCCTTAGATCTGCCGGGACGGTCGGTTCCTGCTCAACGTTCGTCGCCGTTGTCGTCGTCGTCGGAGTGGCGGACCCTGAGAGGAGAAAAGAGTGTCAATAGCACGCCGCCGTTAGGAGACGGTCAGCGTGTTGCTCCCCCGTTTTGAGATGCCAAGGCCCACTGCTCTCTTCAGCAGGGGCGCGCGGCTAGCTTCCCAACGGCGGCGTAGCAGTGGTTTTGATTCGCCCCCCCTCCGAGGTGCCGGCGCCGCAGGCGGCCACGCTAGCGCCGGAGGGTGGCGTTGCTGCCATCTCGGGGGGGACTTGCGGCTGGGGCGGCGCAGGAGAGGGGGCCTATGGCAGGTTCGCGTCGTGTCGACCGGCGGCGACCTCGCCGGCGGCGTTCAATGTTGAACGCCGGCGGCGACCCAGAATCGGTCGATGTTGAACGATTGGACGTTGCGGGAACGGCCGATCGTTCAAGTTTTGACAATCACTTACCAACGCTGGGGTCGTCACGACGCGAGCCTGCCGTACTCGCTCGCCGGCATGGCGGAGAGGGTTCCTCGTGTGCACGGGCCCTGGATTCTTGACGGGCCGTCCCGAGCTTCTGTGGCCCTCCAATGGGCCTCGGGGCAGAGCTCGGAATCCTGAGCGCTGGTCTGGGGGGGGGAGGCAGGGGTCCAGGAGGAAGAGGAGGAGGAGGAAGAATAGGAGGAGGAGGAGGAGGAGGAGGAGGAGGAGGAGGAGGAGGAGGAGGAGGAGGAGAAGGAGGAGGAGGAGGAGGAGGAGGAGAAGAGGAGGAGGAGGAGGAGGATACATCCGTTCCAGAGCGCTCCGGAACGCTCTCAGAGCGCCCCAGAACGCTCTCAGAAGGCAGCAGCGCCCGAGAGATCTCCCATCGCCGCTGGATCTGAGAGATTCTCGAGGTATCGCTGCACCCGATTTGATCCTCTTCCTGGCTGCAGGATGCTGCAGGATCCTGCAAGGCCAGACGGACCCGGCAGTGGCCCGGGCCGGTAGATCCTCGGCGCATGCCCCCTCGCACCAGAGGGGCCAGGCTCCCCAGACGTTCGCGTCATAGCCAGATATTGAGTGTGCTGTTCGCCTCAATTGCCAGGCCTTCACCGTCTGTTGCGTGATTCATGTTGGCTACGATGGCAATCCAAGCACGAGTAATTATGATGATGCTACTTCTTCTTCTTAGTATGATTATTGTTATTATTATTATTAGTATTATTATTAGTATTATTATTATTGTTATTATTATTATTGTTATTATTATTACTTTTGTATTCTTCTTTTGCCTCGTCCTGTGTTCGGCGCTCAAGCGCGGGTCTCGACCCGTTCCCCGGGACCCGTTCTTCATCCTGAGTTGTTCTTGGACGGTCCCGAGTGCCAGTACGGGCCCCCCGAGGGGGAAAATAGCAAATAACCAACCTATTATTTTATGACTCGAGGTGGTCTGGGACCGGCCCGTCCTCCAGGTCTCCTAGATAGGGTCGGAGTAGATAGGGTCGGAGGATCTCGCTGCATCGCCGATGCATCGCCGATGCGGCTCGATGTGCAGCCCGATTTGCTTTACGCCGACGTTGCCGATGCATCGCCCACGTCGACGATGCATCGCCGGTGCATCGTCGCTGCATCAACGATGCATCGCCGATGTATCGGCGATGCGGCGCGATCTTCCGACCCCAATTAGGAGGAGGAGGACGAGGAGGAGGAGGAGGAGGAGGAGGAGGAGGAAGAGGAGGAGAAGTAGGAGGAGGAGGAGGAGGAGGAGGAGGAGGAGGAGGAGAGGAGGAGGAGGAGGGGGGGGGAGGTGGAGGGAGGCAGGAAGGAGGAGGAGGAAGAGGAGGAGGAGGAGGAGAAGAGGAGGAGGAGGAGGACGAGGAGGACGAAGAGGACGAGGAGGAGGGAGGAGGGAGGAGGGAGGAGGGAGGAGGAGGAGGAGGAGGACGAGGAGGAGGAGCCCGTCTGCTCCGATCCCATCTAATAGAGGCCTCGACGTCCTCCCCGGGCCCCACACGCCCCCCCGAGCCCAGCGCGGCACGGAGCCGGCCCGCGTCCGAGCCCGCCGCGGGGGAGAGGGACGCCAAGAAGCCGCGCTCGGACGAGCAGGACCGGCCGACCACGCGCAGAGGGGCTCAACGTTACGTCGGGCATGTTCCTCTACAGGAGGAATGTTCAAGCATATTTGTTTTCATAGTCTGGGGGCGAGTTTTCGATTATCTTTGACTACTTCTGGATATCATGTGATGATTTGCCAACCATCCTGTGGTGTTGGGTCCTTGTTTTGAAGAGACAGCGCCCTGCGTTCCGTCCTTCCTTCCTTCCTTCCTCTCCTCCTCCCTCCTCCCATCCATGCCTCTGCCCTCCGCACGTTCGCCATTTCGGCACACCCCGCACACGTTTCGTGGCCCCACAGGGAACTCCACCGAAGGCTCCAGTGGGAGGATTCGTGGCACCACCGTACCCAATTCGGCACACCCCTCACACGCTGCGTGGCCCCATAGGGAGCCCCACCGAAGGCTCCAGAGGGAGGGTTCGCATGGCACCACCGCGCCCAGTTCGGCACACCCCTCACACGTTCCGTGACCTCACAGGGAACTCTCCCGAAGGCTCCTGTGGGAGGGCTCGAATGGCACCACCGCCTCAACAAGCAAAAATCGTGTCATTCCCTCCAGGAGGCGTGCATGTTTCGCATGTGCGACGTTTGGGGCTTCACAGCGTCCAGAACTGCCCCAGGGACCTCCAACATCTTCCCCAGACGGCCCAACACGCCCCCAAGATGGGCCCACGAGAGCCCAAGAGGCGCCCAAGACGGCCCAAGACAGCCCCAAGAGGGGCCAAAGAGGGTTACCCACCAATTCGAGCCTTCCGCCCCAAGAGGCCCCCAGGAGGCCCCCAGAGGCCCCCAAAAGAGAGCCCAGGCGGTCCCCTGGAGGAGCCACGAGGCCGCCAAGAGGACCAAAAAGAGGCCCCGAGAGGCCCCCCACAGGCCCCCCAAGGGCCCCAAGAGGCCACGAGCGCGCAGGCAGACGCCCGCGGTGGCACAGCGCGGGCCGGCGGAAGGAGCGCAGCGAGGAAGCGAGGACTGCTCGGGGCTCGGGAGGGGCTCCCGTTGTTCTGCCCGAGCCGGTTTTCGGGGAGCCTGGCTCGTGGCCGAGGCGCGCCGTCGCAACGGGAACGCGCTTGTTCAGGAGGGAATTACTCCGACGGAAGGACCCCACATGAGAATCCTCTGGGCGAATCTGGGAAAAGCCCTCACCGTCGTCCTCGTGGTTGGTGAGGCGTCCTGGCTTGTCTCTTCTGCGTATATTTCGAAACGAACTAACATGATCTGCGGGCCCCATAGGGAGGGGGCTCCCGCCTGAGACTTCCTCGCCATTCACTCACAAACGATGCTCCCGCCTGAGACTTCCTCCATATTCAGGCCTCAGGAACCCAAAAGTGACGACAGTTATAAGTTTCCGATGACCCGCTCGGATTAGTAACATGATCTGCGGGCCCAATAGGGACGGGGCTCCCGCTTGAGACTTCTTCGCAATTCATTCACAGACGAGGTTCCCGCTCGAGACTTCCTTCATATTCAGGTCTCAAGAGCCCAAAAGTGACGACAGTTGCACGTTGCGGATGACCCGCTCTGATTCGAACATGAAGTGCGGGCCCCATAGGGGGCTCCCGCCTGAGACTTCCTCACAATTCACTGACAGACGAGGCTCCCGCTCGATACTTCCTCCATATTCAGGCCTCAAGAGCCCAAAAGTGACGACAGTTACACGTTGTGGATGACCCGCTCGGATTCGAACATGAAGCGCGGGCCCCATAGGGAGGGGGCTCCCGCTTGAGACTTCCTCGCAATTCAATCACAGACGAGGTTCCCGCTCGAGACTTCCTTCATATTCAGGTCTCAAGAGCACAAAAGTTACGACAGTTGCACGTTGCGGATGACCCGCTCTGATTCGAACATGAAGTGCGGGCCCCATAGGGAGGGGGCTCCCGCCTGAGATTTCCTCACAATTCACTCACAAACGAGGTTCCCGCTCGAGACTTCCTCCATACTCAGGTCTCAAGAGCCCAACAGTGACAACAGTTGCACGTTGCGGATGTCCCGCTCGGATTCGAACATGAAGTGCGGGCAACATAGGGAGGGGCTCCCGCCTGAGACTTCCTCACAATTCACTCACAGACGAAGCTCCCGTGATACTTCCTCCATATTCATGCCTCAAGAGCCCAAAAGTGACGGAAGTTACACGTTGCGGATGACCCGCTCGGATTCGAACATGAAGTGCGGGCCCCATAGGGAGGGGGCTCCCGCTTGAGACTTCCTCGCAATTCACTCACAGACGAGGTTCCCGCTCGAGACTTCCTTCATATTCAGGTCTCAAGAGCCCAAAAGTGACGACAGTTGCACGTTGCGGATGACCCGCTTTGATTCGAACATGAAGTGCGGGCCCCATAGGGAGGGGGCTCCCGCCTGAGACTTCCTCACAATTCACTCACAGACGAGGCTCCCGCTCGATACGTCCTCCATATTCAGGCCTCAAGAGCCCAAAAGTGACGACAGTTACACGTTGCGGATGACCCGCTCGGATTCGAACGTGAAGTGCGGGCCCCATAGGGAGGGGGTTCCCGCTTGAGACTTCCTCACAATTCACTCACAGACGAGGTTCCCGCTCGAGACTTCCTCCATACTCAGGCCCCAAGAGCCCAACAATGACGACAGTTACACGTTGCGGATGACCCGCTCGGATTTGAACATGAAGCGCGGGCCCCATAGGGAGGGGGCTCCCGCTTGAGACTTCCTCGCAATTCACTCACAGACGAGGTTCCCGCTCGAGACTTCCTCCATATTCAGGCCTCAAGAGCCCAAGAGTGACGACAGTTACACGTTGCGGATGACCCGCTCGGATTCGAACGTGAAGTGCGGGCCCCATAGGGAGGGGGTTCCCGCTTGAGACTTCCTCGCAATTCACTCACAGACGAGGTTCCCGCTCGAGACTTCCTCCATATTCAGGTCTCAGGAGCCCAAAAGTGACGACAGTTGCACGTTGCGGATGACCCGCTCGGATTCGAACATGAATTGCGGGCCCCATAGGGAGGGGGCTCCCGCCTGAGACTTCCTCACAATTCACTCACAGACGAGGCTCCCGCCTGATACTTCCTCCGTATTCAGGCCTCAAGTCAGCGAGTAGTGATGATGATGACGATGGTCGTTCGATGCCGATGATGGTGAGTGATCGTGCGATGGTGATTCTGATGGTGATGATGATGATGATGAGTGGGGAGTGATGGTGATGGTGATGATGATGCGGAGGAGGAAGCAAAGAGGAGCAGAGGACAGGGAGGAGGAGGAGGAGGAGGAAATCCTGCGCGGAGGGTGTGCAGAGAAAACAGGAGCCCCACTTAGGATGTGGGGAAAACACACACAGACACCATGAGTCGTCGATTCCCATGAAAAGATTGGAAACTATGGAAGTGGGGGGGAAGACAAAAGCCCAGAAACGATGGAACAATCTGGGGGATCCTGCTATTTGTTTTTTTTTGTGCCCTAGGGCCCCTTCAACCTGTCATTACCCCCGGGGCCCAGAAGTCAGGTGCACTGTCTGGTGCATTGCAGTGGACGCCCCTGCCAAGAAACATCCTGCGTGCCTCCAGGGTGCCCTGGGCGTCTTGGGCTCCGATGGTGCTGCTGTGGATGGCTTTAAGTCAGGCCTGTTCCTCTCAGACAGTCAGTGTGCCGTGCATCCTGAGGACGCGTAGGCAATGCAATTGGAAACTTAGGGTGGTGCGCCAAACGCGTCCCAATGAAGGTTGGTTCGCCAAACGCGTCCCACGTACAACGGCAGCAGTCCGCTAAACGCGTTTCGATGATGTTGATGACGATGATGTTGATGATAATGATGTTTGTGATGATGATGGTGATGATGATGATGCTGATGCTGATGCTGATGCTGATGCTGATGATGATGATGATGATGATGATGATGATGATGATGATGATGGTGTGACGTGGTCAACTATGTCTGACTCACAAAGGAAGATACGCCATTGCAAACACTTATTGTGCACATTGTTGTCTTGGTCGCCCTCTTCGGTGGTGGCGGTCCCATTTCTTCGGTGCGGCGTCAACATTACAAACAAGTTGTCTTACTAAATCATGGCCTGGTCGCGTTGCAATATTATTTTACATAATTGTTTGTTCATTACCCAGAATGGCAGACAAAGGCTTCCTACCCGCCCGTTCCAAAACAATAGCGTTAGATACTTGTGGATAATATGAATGAGGGATGCCCAGAATTCTCCGCAAACAACTACAGTGATACGCGTCCAGCTTATTGTTTGTCTTATTTGAGCAACCAGCAAGGGTCCAGTGTATATAATCATTTGGAACCACACAGCTCGAATCTATGTGCAACGTTCTTTCTGTGCTTCCCAATTGATGCATGCGACCAAATTGTCTGAAGCTGTCTGAAAAGATGTCTGCTTTCTCTGATCCGCCAGGACACTTCATGGCATGCACGCCCGTCGCAAGACAGAAGACCCACAAAGTATATCGCATCCCGGATGGGTTCCCCATTTGGTTGCTTGACTACACATTGGTTGCAAATTTGGATGTGTACGGATTTGTCCCAATTCAACTCTATTCCATATCTTTCTCCCTCCAAGACTGTTGCGTCCAGCATCTGCCGCAAATTCCCAGGATCATTGGATACCAAAAGCGTGTCGTCCGCGAAAAGGATATCCCGGGTAACGATGTAGTCTGGCTCTTCTGCGAGTGCAAGATGTGCCACAGCGTCGTGTAGAAGAACAGTTTGCACAGCAATGAAGAGGTATGGGGACAACGGGCACCCTTGGGCAATACCTGCCTTTTGAGTACGTTGTGAAGACCGTCCGCAATGATCTACTACCGTAAAATACCTATGTGAATATATGCCTTTGATGATGTTTACAGCGGGGGCAGGAAGTCCAACACGTACTAATGCTTTGCAAAGGCAGTCCGGTTTAAGTCGAACAAAAGTTGCAGCCCAATCTAACAATAGCAATATTAGCACATGACCTTTGTTTTGATAAGCTGCATTAATCATTAATCATCCTTCTGGCCATCATTAGTGCGTCTGCCGTCCCACGTTTCGGCCGGAAGCTAAATAGAGTACTCCTTCTGCTGATTCTTCTGCTAGTTATTCTGCGTACTCGGCAGTTGGAATGTTCAAAAAATAGTCTGGGGACTATTGTGTTAATATTTTTGGACCATTCGGGAGTACTTTTTGAGTATGCTTTTCCCAACCATCCTGTGGTGTTGGGTCTTCGTTTTGAAGAGACGGTGCCCCGCGTCTCCTCTCCTCTCCTCTCTTTCCTTCCTTCCTTCCTCCTCCTCCGCCTCCTCCCCCTCCCTCCTCCCTCCTCCCACTATCACGGCACACCCCTCACGCGTTTCGTGGCCCCATAGGGGGCTCCACCGAAGGCCCCAGTGGCTGCGTTCGCATGGCGGCGCCGCACCCATTTCGGCACACCCCTCACACGCTTCGTGTCCCCATAGGGAGCTCCACCGAAGGCCCCAGTGGCTGCGTTGGCATGGCGGCGCCGCACCCAATTTGGCACACCCCTCACACGTTTCGTGGCCCCATATGGAGTTCCACCGAAGGCCCCAGTGGCTGCGTTGGCATGGCGGCGCCGCGCCCAATTTGGCACACCCCTCACACGTTTCGTGGCCCCATAGGGAGCTCCACCGAAGGCCCCAGTGGCTGCGTTGGCATGGCGGCGCCGCACCCAATTTGGCACACCCCTCACACGTTTCGTGGCCCCATAGGGAGCTCCACCGAAGGCCCCAGTGGCTGCGTTCGCATGGCGGCGCCGCACCCAATTTCGGCACACCCCTCACACGTTTCGTGGCCCCATAGGAAGCTCCAACGAAGGCCCCAGTGGCTGCGTTCGCATGGCGGCGCCGCACCCAATGTGGCACACCCCTCACACGTTTCGTGGCCCCATAGGGAGCTCCACCGAAGGCCCCAGTGGCTGCGTTGGCATGGCGGCGCCGCACCAATTTCGGCACACCCCTCACACGTTTCGTGGCCCCATAGGCGAGCTCCACGAAGGCCCCAGTGGCTGGTTGGCCTTGGCGGCCGCCGCATCATTTCGGCACATCCTCAAACGTTTTCGTGGCCCATAGGGAGCCCCACACCCCTCACACGCTTCGTGGCCCATAGGGAGCTCCGGCTGCGTTGGCATGGCGGCGCCGCACCCAATTTGGCACACCCCTCACACGTTTCGTGGCCCCATAAGGGGGGCTCCACCGAAGGCCCCAGTGGCTGCGTTCGCATGGCGGCGCCGCACACAATTTAGCACACCCCTCACACGCTTCGTGGCCCCATAGGGAGCTCCACCGAATGCCCCAGTGGCTGCGTTGGCATGGCGGCGCCGCACCCAATTTGGCACACCCCTCACACGTTTCGTGGCCCCATAGGGAGCTCCACCGACGGCCCCAGTGGCTGCGTTGGCATGGCGGCGCCGCACACAATTTGGCACACCCCTCGCACGCTTCGTGGCCCCATAGGGAGCTCCACCGAAGGCTCCAGTGGCTGCGTTCGCATGGCGGCGCCGCACCCAATTTGGCACACCCCTCACACGTTTCGTGGCCCCATAGGGAGCCCCATCGAATGGCCCAGCGGCTGCGTTGGCCCAAATGGCTGACGCCCGCACCCCATTCTGGCACACCCCTCACACGTTTCGTGGCCCCATAGGGAGCTCCACCGAAGGCCCCAGTGGCTGCGTTCGCATGGCGGCACCGCACCGGCACACCCCTCACACGTTTCGTGGCCCCATAGGGAGCTCCACCGAGGGCCCCAGTGGCTGCGTTCGCACGGCGGCACCGCACCCATTTCGGCACACCTCTCACACGTTTCGTGGACCTTAGGGAGCATCCACCGAAGGCGCCAGTTTTCCGGCGAGTTGGTATGGCGGGCCGCGCCCAATTTGGCAATCCCCTCAGCAACGTTTCGTGGCCCCATAGGGAGCTCCACCGAAGGCCCCAGTGGCTGCGTTGGCATGGCGGCGCCGCACCCAATTTGGCACACCCCTCACACGCTTCGTGGCCCCATAGGGGGCTCCAACGAAGGCCCCAGTGGCTACGTTGGCATGGCGGCGCCGCACCCATGTCGGCACACCCCTTCGCACGCTTCGTGGCCCCATAGGGAGCTCCACCGAAGGCCCCAGTGGCTGCGTTGGCATGGCGGCGCCGCGCCCATGTCGGCACACCCGTCACACGTTTCGTGGCCCCATCGGGAGCTCCACCGAAGGCCCCAGTGGATGCGTTGGCATGGCGGCGCCGCGCCGCCCCCAATGGCAAACCCCTCACACGCTTCGTGGCCCATAAGGAGCTCACCGAAGGCCCCAGTGGCTGCGTTCGCATGGCGCCGCCGCACTCATTGTCGGCACACCCTCACGCTTCGTGGCCCCATAGGGAGCTCCACCGAGGGCCCCAGTGGCTGCGTTGGCATGGCGGCGCCGCGCCCAATTTGGCACACCCCTTCACACGTTTCGTGGCCCCATAGGGAGCTCCACCGAAGGCCCCAGTGGCTGCGTTGGCATGGCGGCGCCGCACCAATTTCGGCACACCCCTCACACGCTTCGTGGCCCCATAGGGAGCTCCACCGAAGGCCCCAGTGGCTGCGTTCGCATGGCGGCGCCGCACCCAAGTTGGCACACCCCTCACACGCTTCGTGGCCCCAATAGGGAGCTCCACCGAAGGCCCCAGTGGCTGCGTTCGCATGGCGGCGCCGCACCCAAGTTGGCACACCCTCACACGTTTTCGTGGCCCCACACACCCATTTCGACACCCCTCACACGTTTCGTGGCCCCATAGGGAGCTCCACCGAAGGCCCCAGTGGCTGCGTTGGCATGGCGGCGCCGCGCCCAATTTGGCACACCCCTCACACGCTTCGTGGCCCCATAGGGAGCTCCACCGAAGGCTCCAGTGGCTGCGTTCGCATGGCGGCGCCGCACCCAATTTGGCACACCCCTCACACGTTTCGTGGCTCCATAGGGAGCTCAACCGAAGGCCCCAGTGGCTGCGTTGGCATGGCGGCGCCGCACCCAATTTGGCACACCCCTCACACGTTTCGTGGCCCCATAGGGAGCTCCACCGAAGGCCCCAGTGCTACCGCCCTCATGCGTCCCGCGCGCCCAGGACAGCGTTTCGTGGCACGCCTTTCGTGGCCCCTTAAGGAGCCCCACCGACAGCGGCACCCACAAAACGTTATTCACAATTGCATTTGGTTGGGTCCTTCGCGATGATAATTTTTTGTCGTCGAACATCCCCCTGTAGGGGGGGCAGGCCCGACCTAAGGATAGCTCTCCTCCTCCTTCTTCCAGACCGTCCGCCCCAACATCCCGCCCCTTTCTTTCTGAAAATGCGCAAGGTTTCCATGCGTTTCGAGGAGCTCTTCCGCACCTTCCGCGGACGTCAAAATGTATCCAAAGTAGAGGTGGAGGGAGGGTAACGTACCCACACTAAGAATCAATGGACGTCCTCTGGTCTCAGGGTTGGGCTTCTCGTGGACGGTTTCTTGTGGACTGGCCTCCACTGCAAGGGCCCCCATTGAAGTTTCGACCACTCCCAGAGACCGGCCTTGCATCCTGAGTAGTTATGTTGACAGTCCTGTGGCCCGTGGAGGGCCCGGAAGAGGCCGAAAGCGGCGCACAGCATGTGTCGTGTTTTTTCCCATTGTCTGGGAGCTCAGGGTGCTCAGCCTGTCCGGTGGTACGGTAGGTTTGCGTCGTGTCGACCAGCGGCGACCCCAGCGCGGGCGTTCAAGGTTGAACGCCGCTGGCGACCCAGAATCGATCGATGTTGAACGATCGGACGTTGCGGCAGCGGCCGATCGTTCAAGGTTGAACGATCCCTGGGGTGTCAAAAACCAAGGCTGGGGTCGGCACGACACGAACCTGCCGTAGCAGGATGGCTGGGTCTCCCCCCTCGAGGACACGCTGGCGAGGATGCTGGTGCAGGGCGTGGTGCGCGTGCTGCAGAACCGGGTGTCCGAGGCAGCGCGGGCGCAGAGAGAGCCCCGGTCGCATCGTGGGCACGCATCGCGACGGGGATGTTGTTTTGGGCGTCTTCGGCCGCGAAGGTGTTTTCGAGAGTGTTTTCGAGGAGGAGGGGGAGGAGGAGGAGGAGGAGGAGGAGGAGGAGGAGGAGGAGGAGGAGGAGGAGGAGGAGGAGGAGGAGGAGAAGGAGGTGTTTTCGGCATTTCGGACGGTGTTTTCGAACGCCTTCGCGAGATCTTGCGGGCGTTCCAGCCTGGGAATGCTTCCCAGCAGCTGCGCCCCGGCGAGAGCGCTCTGGGGATGCCAGTGTTGTTCCGAACGGCTGCCGGGGGCCCGAGTCGTGGCCCGAGAGCTGACGTCCCCGCTTGGTGGAGCGATCACCTTGGTATCGCTCGGACGTGTGCATTTTCTCTCGGCGAGAACCATCGAGGACCATCCTGGACACCATCGAGCCAACAAACACACGCACGAAACCGAAACATGCACGGGGAATGGACGTCCGAGCGATGGCAAGCCAAGGGAGGGGGAGCACAGGTCCGGTAGCGTGGCGGTTCGCGTTGGCGCCGCCCGGGAGGGCCCAGGAACGGCGAGTTCCCGGACGGCGCCAGCACGAGTCGCGGCGTCAAGTGCAAGGGGGGGGGGGCCGGGGCCGGCGGCGAGCGTCATCGCGAACATTGGGGGGGCGCGCAAATGGGGGGGCTACGAATTCACTGGGGGGGCGGCGAGGGCTGCATCGACATTGTCCTTTCGGACGCCCCCAAAAGGGCCCCCTGGGGCCCGAAAAGGGGGGCCTACAGGGCCGGAAGAGAGCATCTTTCTTCCCCCCTCGGCTAGCTCGCCCCTCCATGAAGCCGAGCCCACTGCACTGCAATACGTGTGGGGACGGGGGGAGAGGAGGAGGGAAGGAGGGGGAAGGGAGGAGGCAAGCTAGGTGCGCTCGCGTCATATCTGACATCCTACCCTTCCCTCCCATCCCTTACCATGGCGCAGATCCCCTCTCTACTCGCACAGTCGGATGTCGAGCAGGGCAATGATCCCGAAAAGGTGCGCGATGCATTGTAGAGCACGGCATAACATGGCGTAGAAGAGCACCGCGAAGCGTAGTATCAACCTGGCATTGCATTGCATGCCGTTGCATGGCACGGGAAATGACGCCAGCGCTGCAGCGGGAGCACGAGTCGAAACGAGCGGAAGCGCGGAAATGAGGCCAGCGCTGCAGCGGGAGCACGATTCAGAACGAGCGGAAGAACGCCGGAATCGGCCCAGGAGGCAGAAGCAGAAATTCACCATTTTCAAAAGAAAAATATGTATTGGAATGGCCTTTTTTCGGCGCCGCCTCGGAACTCGATTTTCCGGCGCCGGCCGGAACCGGCTCCGGACCCCGCCCGAGCGCCGGCGCGGGCGCGGGCTCAGGCGTCCGGCCAGGGCGCCGGCTCGGGCGCCGGCCCGGGCGTCGGAATCGGCCGGGGAGGCCTCCCGGGCGCCGGAAGCGGAAATTCAGCATTTTCAAAAAAAAATATTAGAATTGCCTTTTTTCGGCGCCGCCTCGGAACTCGATTTTTCGGCGCCGGTCGGAACCGGCTCCTGACCCGGCCCGAGCGCCGGCCCGGGCGCCAGCTCGGGCGTGCAGCCCGGGCGCCGGCGGAAATGAGGCC